TCCATCTCTTGTTGTCTTCAAATGGAATGCTCCAGGAAATGTAACGGGTTATCTTAACGACAGTGTCAAAGAAGGCCGCTGCTTGGAAGAGTGGGAGGCTTTGAGAGAGAAAAAATCTGGGCACAAAGAAAGGCAAACTAGTCCATGTGTCAAACCTTCTATTAGTATGAATGCAAAATTATCTCGCAAATAAAATATTAATTCCCAAAATATCGAGATTTTTTTTGGCATTTCAGGTTGCAATTTGCAGCTAGAGAGTGAATCGGCAATGAGGGAAGTATCCGCAATATTTGTATATTGTAACTGAGAAACATTTTATAATGTTGTAATATTGCATTAAAGAATTCATATTATTCTTAAACTTTTATAGATACGTTTAGATTATTATATGCATAAACTGCAATTCTGGTTTAGTATGGTAGCAACTAGAAGAAGCTTCAACACTGGAAATGTAAAACTTTGTTTTTTCATTTATGTATTTGGTACAAGGTCTCACTATGCACTCGGACTCATAGGGATCCTCCTATTTTCAGCCTCCCCAGCAGTGGGATTACAGGCATATGCCACTATGACTGGTCTAAGTGGCTGGCAGGGGTGGGGCCACGCAGCATGCAGGACCAGGAATCGAACCCTGGTCCTTGCTCTTCCAAAGCAGGTGCTTAGTCCACTGAGCTATCTCGCCAGCCCTTGTAAACCATTTTTTAAATTTAGTAAGATTGAATTTAAATTCCAAAATTAATTTAATATTGAATCTAGGTTTATATACCTTAGATTTAAATTTTGGCATTGACCAAAAATATATATTTCATAATTCAATTTTAATAACTTTAAAGGCTGAGGGACAAAATATAAAATAATTCCACACATTAATTTTTTAATTTACATTAACCTTAGATTTATGTTTTTGATGAAAATACATGCAATTGAGGGGGCAGGGAAATAGCTCAGTGGCAAGCACACACCCGGCAAGCGCAAGGTCTTGAGTTTGATTCCTGGTACCAAAAAAAAGTTAAAAAAAGAAATATATTCAGTTGTAGCTTTTGATCCATTAGATCATTATGGTCAATAGAATATAGGTTATGAAAGAAAAAAAAGAACATAGGTTATGTAAAGCCTGATGATAAAAATAGTAACTTCTTAATAAAAAATGGGAAAAATATATTTTATGGAATAATTACATCATAATGTATTACTTTATACAGGTATGCCTCTGTGTCTATTACTCATATAATTACCCACCATCAGTTTATTATAATGCCCACTCATGCTTATAAAAATACAACTCATTTGCCTTTGGTTATTGTGTTTGACAATTTTCAATCACATTGTCATTCGGAAGACAATGAGAAGGACAGATCTACTTCACTCATCAGTTTGGTGCCTTGAGTGCTGCCTCCGTCGGCGCCTGCCCGGCCCTGTGCATAGGGACGCATTCAAGGGAGAACCGCGTCTCGGGCCCACCCGGGGGCGTCTG